AGACATGAAGCTATTGGAGTAGAAGAGACAGCTGCATTTAACAGTTTTGGCAGTGAAAGTGTGAGAGTGAGATGCCAGCCTAGTAGAACGCTTAAATTCATGAAGTCTGGGAATCAGCAAAAGCAGCTCATCAGAGCAGTTACCATGAAAAAGTATTTGTAAAAAAGACAGAGGGAGGCGACAACACTTCTGTGAGAGAGCGACTGTAGAGTAGATGCTAGATCAGGGCCAATTACAGTTTAAGTTGAACACTTCATACTATAGTACAGTTTTTTTAATATTTGCTAAACATACAAAAAAAACAAAATACATGCAAATAGAGCCAAGCTGTGGTCATAAAGTTGAACAGTCATAAGTTGATGATGACAACCTCTATATGTAGGGCTAGATAGTAAAAAGGGGCTTTCCTCCTAGATTCTTCCAGAGGGATTGGCAGAGGAGGAGAAGGGTCTTTTTTTCCATTGGAGTTGATGCTGCGGTTGTAGTATCTGTTCTGTGCCTTCTGTCCTCCTTTGCATGATATCTGTTACGTAGTGGTGGTATGATGGGCTATGACTAGCTCAGACAAGCTATGACCAGCTTAGACCAGCAGCCTGATTGGAAACTCTTGGGACTCCACATTAAAAATCGACCTTGTGTCACAACCTGACTCAGTTGGAGTGTGTGGAGGAACGTTGCGGTTACGGTTTGTTGTGGGAATGGCGGTTGCCACTTGTTGTTGATAGAAGTCAGACGTAGAAGAAACGCAAGGTTCAGATACTCCTGCCCGCCGAGCCCAACTACATAAAAAGGTTGGACTTTGATTAAGTCCAAAGAAGGAGGAAAAGAAAGCAAACAAAACAAGACCGATAATATATGTATATACAAATATATATTATTAACAAGTTACAATACATGGAAACAGTACAAAGGACGAAGTGTGTGTGAATATTCTGTATGTGCGTGCGTGTGTGAATATTCTGTATGTGAGTGCGTGTGTGTATATTGTGCTTAGCGTGTTTCCACGCTATTCCTTGTTAGCGACTACATTTCGAGGTTGATAGTTGAAATCCTCTAGGAATAAGAGAAATTTACCTCGAGGTGTCAGTGCACAGGCCTGAAAGGAAAAAAGAGATCGAGGCGAAGGGTCATTGGCTATTTATAGCCAGGAAAGAGAGACCCCTGGTGAAAGGTTTACGAACTGAAGGAGGAGTTAACTCCGACAAGTGTTAAGGTAAATCTCTGACTAGATAGTGAAAATATAAATAAAAATGTTGGTTATAATTATACATTGAAACAAAACATTTTAAATTTTCTGATCTACAGTGTGTCTAGTCTAATATACAGAGTTTATAAATTATTTTTCTTACACATCCGAATATATAAAAATCACTAATTTGAGTCCCTCAAAAAATCGAGAACAGTTTTGATACCTATTCTTTCCATATATGAAAGAAAGAAATACACCATTTAATTAACTTGTCCTTGGTTTTTATTTAATTTATTTAAAACTTATTTTACAGTTTCACAGAACAATGTCTTCCAAGATGTTCAGTGTTTTGCAATCACCTGATTCTCTTGCCAAACATTTATTACTATCGTGAAAGTCATTTTCTGTCGTTATCATTAGCAATGGTTTTAATTTCCTGTTGTCGTTTCAATCTCTTCACTACTCTTTTCTTTACATAAATAGTTTTTCTATAAACATGACAATTCCCAGCAGCTGAGTCAAAATAAGCATCAACAATTTCTTTTCACTCGGATCATCCCTACTGGCAATAAATAAAAACAACCTAACAATGTTTGTATTATCTATACTCCGACTATTGTCCTCATCTTTGAACATTTTAGCCTCTCTGATCTCCAGCCTCCATCAGACAATTTCAAACTGTATCCTTTATTTAATCTTTGCAGTTGTTTAGTTCTTATTTAGTGCAATCCTGTTTCCACCGATTCTAAGTCTGCACTACCTGGCCCAGGGATTGAACTCACAATTACTATGTCACCAAATTCATGAGCCAATGTTTTAATCCACTAGGCTGTTGTTCTATGGGGCCTGATTTCTCACTTGAAAAACCTAGATAAGTGTTGGTTTATAAATTTGTTGATATAGTAATTGTAATTTCAATCTCAGGGCCACATAGTGCAGACTCACAATTGGGGGAAACATGTCAAGCAAGAATATTAAACAAGGACTAAACATGATTTCCCTAGACATGGTCATTGAAACGAGAACACTCTACCATCATCTATCAAATAAAGGGTTCCATTTGAAATTCACTGAAGGTTATCCAGATCAGATTGACAAACACCTGATGGAGTCCGAGGTGCAAAACAAGTGAAACATTATTATAGTAAAAACAAAGATAAGAACAGTAGTATGAGTTTAAATAATATAAGTAATGATAACTATTCATCCCAGAAATTCAAACTGCAAGCCGAAATATTTAGTGCCAAAGTTATATCTTTTTCTTATAAGTGACATTTTTTCAGAAATACTGCTATAAATTATCATATCTTTTTCTGCATCATAAAATGATATAAACATATCATCTAGCTGATCACTTTCAAACTAACATTTCTAACCATTTCTTTCTAATGGTTTCTGTCATCCATTACCCTACCCAGTTTTCCTTTCCAATTCCTGTGTCATCTATGAGTCAATTGATGAACTTTCTTGCTGACTTACCTCTTCATCTTGTCCTATAATTTGGATCTCATAGTATAACTATAGCTCAACCCAATTCTTCATTCCTGATTCTTGTGTCATTTATAATACGAACAATGAAGTTTCTTGCTGCTCTTTTCCCACAATTTGGATCTCATTATATAAGTGGATGTACATCTTGTTTACTTCTCCATGAATGGACACTAAACTGTGCTTGCTTTTCACAGACTGTGTCCATAAACTTTGGAGGTCCCCAATGTCAATTTGAAACTTTCGTATGAATTTCATGCATAGCCCCAAAATTTATAAACACCTAAACTGTTAGCTCTATACAATTGCTTTCTAAGATCAATGGTTAAAAATGGCTTTGAACAATTAATCCTGCTGGTCCTTTTTTGAAACTTGTGGACTGGTGCTTACAGAATGACAAACAAAAACTGTACTAAATAAAAAAACCACATCACTTGAGGAATTTCATCCATGGCAAGAGATAAAATGGATATCACACTCAAAAGATAAAATAGTGACCTAATCAAGAAGTTGATATTACAATTAGTTCAATCAACAGGGTAGGAAGGAAATCTCCATCAGTACTGAAAAGAGCAATAACAGCTACTGGATTTGAGAAACTTATTTTCCTGAAAATTGTTTTAATAGAAAGATTTTAGAAATTTCAACCAAAAGTAGCACTGGCATTTTTATCAATGAATACCAAATGTTTCCTTATAAGGAAATGGCTGATATCACCATTATCATTAACATATAGTTTTTCATCAGACATATGATATTTTCTGCTGACATTTAGAATTGCTCCCAATAGTTGAGCATAGGTACCATCTTGTATTTTTACTGATGATTTTGTTAATGTCCAACTACTTGACTATAGTGCTCACCATATCAATGCAGTTCTTTTTGTAAGGAATTCAACCAGGATCTGTGATATAAAAAAATATCCATTTAATTTAGACTGTCACATTTGAAAGTTATGACATCTCCATAAGCTTGTTTAAAAACATGAATTCTGTTTTAATTTCATTTACATTATCAGCCCAAACTTTAGGGTTGCACTCTGGATTTAATAATTAGTAATTTTCATACATTCTTTGTTTAAATTAATTCTGATGAAGCTTAGATGTTGAAGCTATTTACCCATTAATACTTGGTGGCCAATTTTTTAGAGAAGGAGTTAAGTAAAATTTAAAATCTCTCAGCTCTAGGATTACTATTTCCAGAATGGTAGATTAGGCAAAATGAGCTAAAATTTTAAGTAAACTTTATGCAGTAATTGGTTAATTTCATTATTATTATGATCATTGAATATATGATAAAAGTCTTCCAGAAGAGAAAAGTCCCTCTGTCCTGAAGTGAACTAGTAAATTAGTTTTGAAAAAAGCAAGCAACCTTAAATTTTTTTACAATTCTTCAAAATCCATAAGATGGCACCAAAAATTTTGGCATATAATATCTATAGAGTTCAACTTTTGCTGTAGCTGATTCTAATCTGAGAAGAAATAGTTGTGCTTGTTCAAGAATGTTAGATACAAAGGCTAGATAAAAAAAAAAACCTGTCTGGTGTGATGATTTCAGGACATCAACTATATTTTGTTTCTTTTAAGGTAAGCCCAATAGTTTTCTCAGCTTTACTTACACATTTCATTGAATAGTCAGTGTGTCTCTCTGTAAAACTCCAGCAGAAATTTCATTATCATCATGAATTTTCTTCAGTTTTTTCTTTTACTGGGTTTTTCTTCATCTCTTCATCATCATCATCATAATCATCATCATTGTCATGAATTTTTTCCAAGTTTTTCTTTTATCAAGGGATATGACCATATCATGTTGAAGAACATGTTCTCATACAATAACCAAAGTTAAGCAATATTGAGCCTCGTCCATATTTAGATGGGTGACCGCTTGGGAATACTAGGTGCTGTAAGCTTGGATGTGCAGACAGAGTAATGGACAAGGCTTGGAATTGTTAATGAGAGAGCTGAATTTCAATTCCAGTTTGGCTTGTTGTATTCAAATACCCTTAGGAAAGGTATGACTACACCTCTTCTCCCTCATCTATGGATTAATTAGTAAGACTTGTATCACTAAAACATTATTATCTCAAAATAATCTTACATTCTAAAAATATTTTCTGGCTTTAAATAAACTGCAAAGGGTTTATAAGCCATAGAAAATGAATCAATTAATTCTTTCATGTTTTCTTTCATTTCTTTTTCATCTTTATCATGAATTTTCTTTATTTTTTTTATTATCATCTTTTTCTTCATTTCTTCATCTTCTTCATGAATTATTTCCACTTTTTTATTATCATCTTTGTCTTCATTTCTTCTTCATTTTTAGCATGAATTTTGTTCAGTTTTTTATTTTATTATCATGCTCTTCTTCATTTTTTCTTCATCATCATCATGAATTTTTTCTTTTTCTTTCATCACTGTCTTTTTCTTCATTTCATCATCATCACTATAAAATTTCTTCTGCTTTATTTCTTCTCTGTTTTCATTTTCATTTACTTTTTACCTTCCCTTCTTTTATCATCATCATCATAATTGTTGGTTTTCTCCTTCATTTTTTACATTTGTCATCAGTGTGTTGTTTTTGTTTCAATTCTTTATTATTGTCATCATTCTTGATTTTCTTCTTCAGTTTTTCATTATCATTGTGTTCTTTTTCTTCCATTCTTCATCATCATCATTATCATCATAAATTATTTTCTCTTTCAATTTCTTTTTCATTATTATTAGCATTTTCTTCTTTACATTCTATTTTTTATCATCATTATTATCATGGATTTTATTCTTCAATGTCCATTTCATTATCATAATGATTTTTCTTTGATATTCTTTCTTTCAATGACATATTCTTGTTTACTCTTAATCATTTCCCTGTTGCAAATTTTCATTCTCATCTTGTTCTTATCCATTTTCTTCTTTTTTTCATTATTTTCATTATTATGCTTGTTCTTCTTTTTCTACATTTTCACTATTATTCTTATATTTTGACCTATTTTTTACTCTGCATCTGTCACCATCATCATCAACACATCTTTTCATTCCCTTTTTATTTCTCTTCTGTCTCTTCTTTTTCTGCATAATAAAATTAAAATTTTCTCCTTTATCTATACAATTGTTATTGTTATCTTCTTCCATATTAAAATCCCTATACTTCTTTTTAATTACTCCTACCACTGCCATCCTCATTTCTTTCATTTTCTTCTTCATTGTATTTGAAACAAATTTTCTCTAACATTATGATTACCATTTATATTCTTCTTTTTTAATCTCCTCCTTATCATCATCATTTCCTTATATTTTTTATCTTTTTCCCTCCCAACTTTATTATTGTTAAGGAATCTTGATCATACTCTTGTTTTGTTTATCTAAAAAATGTTTTTGAAATTAAGTTAATTTCTAGAGAAGAAATTGGGATTTGCTTTCATTGCTATTTTGATGTTTATTTCCTGTCATTATCAGGATAGATAAAGATATTTTAATGTTTTCGTAAATATTATTTTTGATTTTCACTTATTTACATTTTGGAGTTACTCTCATGTCTTATCTTAGTTTTTTTTAATTTTTAAAGACTAGTATGGTGGAGTAATGGATAGCGGCTCAGATTGAGGAATTGGAGAGTAGCGTTCAAATTCCATTCAAATGCATTACATTCATTTACGTGCTAATACCCTTGGGAAAAGTATGAATCTTCTTCTTCTCCCTCCAGCTATGGGTAAATAGCAGAACAGACCATGATCTATAGCCTTGGATGGCAACTGGTCTACTGTAGAAAGAAATGGCAACCTACTGTGGGGAAAAAATCTGCTTTGTCAGTCATGTATCGAAAGATACATGATCACCTAAGTGTGTATCATGCATGGCACATAACTGACTGATCTAAGTGGAGCACCACAAAATAAATAGTTGGGGGACTAAATGAGATGTTAAAAGAGGGGGAGAGTTAAATAAGTTGTTAAAAATGGTGGGGCTAAATAAGATGTTAAAATGGGGGGCTAAATAAGATGTTAAAATGGAGTGCTAAATAAGATGTTAAAATGATAGGGGGTAAATCAGATGTTAAAATGATAGGGGGTAAATCAGATGTTAAAATGGAGGGGCTAAATAAGAGGTTAAAATGATAGGGGCTAAATAAGATGTTAAAATGATAGGGGGTAAATCAGATGTTAAAATGGAGGGGCTAAATAAGAGGTTAAAATAAATAAGAGGTTAAATCAGATGTTAAAATGATAGGGGCTAAATAAGGGTTAAAATGGAGGGGTTAAAATGGAGATGTTAAAATGGCTAAATAAGAGGTTAAAAATGTTAAAATAGGGGGTAAATCAGATGTTAAAATCTAAATAAGATGTTAAAATGATAGGGGTAAATCAGATGTTAAAATGGGGGGCTAAATATTTGGTAAATCAGATGTTAAATGATAGGTAAATAAATCATGATTTAAAATGGGGGGGCTAAATATTTGTCAGCGGGGTAAATAATATGTTTAAAATGGAGTGTGGGTGGCTAAATCAGATGTTAAAAATGGAGGTAAGATGTTAAAATGGTGGAAAGCTAAAAAAAATTAAAAATGGTGCAGGGAACTAAATAAGATGTTAAAAATATTGGAGGAGCTAAAAAGATGTTAAAAGTGGAGGAGGCTACATCAGCGATTAAATTTTTTAAAAATCCTGCTTCTACATTTTTTATCTGATCCTCTCATAAAATGAACAAGGGATTAGGAGAGACATCACAAATACAAACTTTACTAAGAACTACAAAAGACAGGAAATTGTGGAGAGCCATGATTGCACACATCCTGAAGGGACACAATACATAGAAGAAGTCATTTTTCTTCTTACTTCTTTTCTCTATAGTTTCATTCTTACTCATTTCTTTGCTTTCTTTCTAATCTTTCATTCAATTTCAGTTTGTTTATCGTGAAAATATCTCTTTTCTTATTTTCAGTCTTACTTTTATTATCATATCCCATTTCATTTATGACTTGTTTCTTTTTCTTTCTTTTTTCACTCATATTGCAATCATTGTTTTCTTTATTCTTTTAATAACTTTCCCCATCTTCTTCAATTGTTTTCATCAACATCCTCTTTTTTCTTTTCCATTCTTTTTTGTTTATCTTCTTCATAATTGTAATCTTTATTTTCATCATCATCATCATTGCATTTATTTTCCATCATCATCTTCATGTTTATTTTCCGTTGTTGCTATTGATTCACTTTTTAATAGTTTCTCCCTCACCATCATCACCAATACCATCTTCATCACTATTTCTGTTATCACCATCACTATCATCTCCATCATTATTATCCTCACTATCAGACTATCATCATCTCCATGACTATAATCAATACCATCACCACTATCAATATATCCATAATCATCACTAAAGGCATCAACACCTTCATCACAATCATGATCACATGACTATAATCAACACCATCATCACTATCAATATAGCCGTCATCATCACAGTCATGATCTCATGACTATAATCAACACCATCATCACTATCTATATATCCATCATCATCACTATAATCATCAACACAATCATCACTATTATGATCACATGGCGATAATCAACACCATCATCACTATCAAGATCTCATGAATATAATCAACACCATCATCACTATCTATATATCCATCATCATCACTATAATCATCAACACAATCATCACTATTATGATCTCATAGCTATAATCAACACCATCATCACTATCGATATAGCCATCATCATCACCATCATGATCTCATGACTATAATCAACAACATCATCACTATCTATATATTCGTCATCATCACTAACATCATCACTCTCATGATGTCATGGCTATAATCAAGACCATCATAACTATCAATATAATTTCTTTTCTCGTACTTCTCACTTATGGAACTCCCTTTTGGCTCTACACTTTCCAATCAACTTTAATCTGCAAAAATCTAAATGCCGTGTTAATTACTATCTACTGTCCTCTTGATTGCTCTTTTCTCTTTCTGCTCATTGTTAATGTTTCTGTTTCTAATTATTCCACACCCAGTTACCCTTTGTTTCTTAGTGGATTTACTGCCTTACATGGGGTGATACGAATTAAAAAAAACAAAAAACAAACCCATCATCATCACTATAATTACTAACACCATCATCACTATAATCATTTCCTTCATCACTATGATAATCTCCACGACTATCAACATCAGAACAAACATCACTATCATCATCATCACCATCATCTCTATGACTATAATCCTCATCATCATCATCAGAACCATCATCACTATCATTATGCCCATGATTATCTTCATCTCTTTATCATCAATCCCATCATGCCTATCATGATATCCATGACTATAATCAACACTATCATCATGCCAATCACCATCATCAGCATACCATCATCTTCCTATCACCACCAACATCAATATTTTAAATGTAATCATCTTTATTTCCTTCTTCTCCAACACCATTTTCTTTTTCATCATTTTTTTTCTCTGATTCAGCTCCCACATCATTGTCTTGGACATTTCCAAATGAGAAAATGGATGACCACCAAACTTTGAATAAACAAACATTATCATTTTATGCTTTTCTCTTTTCTTTTTTTCACTTCAATAGATTTTTCTTTGGATTTTGTTTTATGTGCTTTTGTTTCTTGTTCTTTTTATCTTTTTACCTTATCAGTCCTGTTTTTATAAATGCAATGAGAGTGGACAACTGAGTGGACAGCCAACAATATCCTATAGCTGGGTGGGTTTGAGAAGAATTTGGATTAGAGAGAAGGAGAGAGAGAAGTCTCCAGGAAAATAGATATTAAAAATGTGAAAAAGTCTCATCTTTTATTTATTAACTTATTCATCCATTTCCCTTCACACTCTTTCTCCTTACCTTAACCACACCCATGTAAATTCCCCACCTATCCACCCCCAGGACTTTTACCCTGGGAGGGGGTCAAGCAATGATGACTGATGGGAGGGATCCACAGCAAAACGGAAATCTCTGAATGCGAGTTGGTCAGATGAAAGGAAATTTTTGAGAGAAAATCAATTAAATGCCATCTGTTATGTCCAGCCTGACGACCAAGGGGGTGACACAAAATGCTTTTGTGTTAAATATCAATAATACATACATCAATCAATCTGAGGGTTGGGGTGGGGAGAAGAAGCAAACATTTATCTTTGATCTCTGAAGATAATACAAAACAATATACAAATAAAAAAAAAGAATGAATTAGATGTTGAAATGAATAATATGAAAAGTTTGCAATGAATTTGAAATTATTTAACAAATCCCTTTTTATATTCCCTATTTAAATGGGTCAGTAGATTTAGGTACCTAATAAATAACAGGGTACATTTATTTTGCTGGGGAGGAAATATTCCAGTACCCACCATCTGAGGTTATTAAAACCACTATGTTTATTAATTTAACACTTTTTGACAATTTAAATAATTTTCTAATCCCACTTTTATTAAACATCCCTCATTTATTGCATAAAAATGCCCAACTATTAAGACCCACCCCTTGTACTAGGCGCCTGAGAGTATCTGTTCACACACACACACACACACACACACACACACACACACACACACACACACACACACACACAAATAGCTAAGCTCAGGGCCATATCATGCTGAAACATCAGTTCCCGTATGACCACCAAAGTTAAGCAACATTGAGCCTAGTCAGTACCTAGATGGGTGACCACTTGGGAATACCAGGTGCTGTAAGCTTGGATGCATGGGTGGTGTAATGGTTGATTGCTCAAAATGTTTAAACAGTGTCAAGTTCCCATTCCAGTCATGTTCATTATATTCACTTACACACATATACCCTTGGGGAAGCTATGAATCCATCGCTTCTCCACCCAGCAATGGGTTAATTAGTAAAACTTGTATTACTAAATCATTATTACCTCCCACCAAAAATATTCTTACAATCTAAAAATATTTTCTGGTTTTAAATAACCTGCAAACGGTTGATAAACCATAGAAAATGAATCAATCTATCACAAACAGGTAAGAAAAACAGGAAAGGTTAACAGGGTTGAAAGCTTATTAGAACAAACCCGGACCCAAGGTCTTCTCACTCCTTGAAGGAACCCCTGCTGAATTAACTATGTTTTCAGGGGTGTAAGCATACACTCCATGGTTGTGGGTTGGTGAGGCTGTTTAACCCATAGTTGGAGGTTTTGAATTCAGAGTTATCCTTCTAGACTGGTTATCACCCAAGACTATAAGGATCCAGTCTGTCCTGCTATTTACCCATAGCTGAAAGAGAAAACCTTTCCTAAGGTTATTTGCACATAAATGAATGTAACAAACCCAACTGGGATTTGAACTCAGATCTCCAATTCCTCAATCTGAGATGCTATCCATTACTCCACCATGTGTCAATAAATAGATAACTATTTATTAATTTCAGTTTAACATTTAGCCAAATGAAAGGAAATAAGAATAGAAAGTTAAAACATTGGTATACTTTGTAAATCATCATTGAAATATGGCCTTTTTTTCCTGGATTCTAACCCCAACCACTGACACTGTTAAGAAATATGCATCTACCTAACACATATCAAAATTTCCGCAACAGACACACAAATATATCCATAAATATTTGCGGGATGTCTACCTGTATATTTAGTATCATTAAGTATATCTCAATTCATAACATATACTTTATATATATATATATATAATTTCAGATAACTAACATATATATCTGTAAAATGACAATATGAATAAAGATAAAAAGAAATCTTGTCCTAGCCAATGCATTTCCCTCTCTGATAGACTTTATTAAGGCAAATGTAAGAATTTTATTTTGCAACAATCACAAATAAAAATGTTGTTAGTTTTTCAAAATTGTTAACTTTAACAAACACTCATAAATATTCATCAGGTTAAATGAAAAGTGTTGGTAAATTATGGAAGATGCTAAGTGATGTAATTTAAAGTCTAATAAACAAAAGTGAGTAAATGATCTTGATTTTTTTTATGCAATTAATATTTAAATTATTTTAGTTTGGGATCAATTTATATATTATATATCTTAAATAACAGGAGGTTATGAATTTAGTTGGCTTGGGAAAGAAGTAATTCTTTCAGGAATAGAGATATTTAAAAAAATCCGGGCTGCAGATTTATATCTTGATAAGATTTGATAAGAATTTTCCTTCTAAGTAAATTACTTTCTCTTTTATGTGTGATATTCTTTAGATCAAAGTTGTGGATGAACTTATTTCTACATATAACTAATTTGATAAATTGCATATATGATCCATTTTGTGTTCATAGATATGTTTTTTTTTTTAAATTTCTGCAAGTTTCCCCAATGTATTGTGAGTAGCAGTTTTGGCTATTTTTTTATATATATAGCTGCTTCAACATTATTATTGTTATGTATATTTTTAATTCTAATCATATCCATAATAGTTTTGCATGTGGTTGTAATTATTCTGATATTGTTAAGTTTGGATGAATTGTTTTGGATAGTAGATGTCAACGAATTGGTAGGTAGTATAATATGTCTGTTTTTATCTAGTTTATTGTTATTATTGCTAATAATGTTATTATCTATTTTGTGATTGTATATTTTATATGCCTTTCTCTTAGCATTGTGGATGAAATAATGAAGATATTAGACAGTTTTGAAAGTGTTCTATCTACATATTTCTGCTACAGGTGAGTAAGGTAGGTCTGCAGATTCTTTGTGCTCTTAAATTTTATTATATCTTATTTTAGGTATAAAGTCTTTCTATACAAATGTTCCCATAAATAAATGCTTAAATTTACTAAAAAACACATAAGTTAAATTTTCCTTTTGTCTTTCTTCATACAGATAAATGCCTATTTGAATAACTAAGTATCCATTGATGGATTTATCTGCCTGTCTATTGGTACATAGAAATACTTGTATGATGAGATTACTTATTTATATCTTCTCCTATGTGCCATGTTCCTTCAGGACATTGACGATCATGGCTCTCCACAATTTCCTATATGCTGTAGCTCTTAATAAATTTTGTCTTTTTGTTATTCCTCTTAAGCCTTGTTCCACCATCCATTTACTTAAGCTCACTAGGTAGGTTAGGCATTGTTTCTTTCTGTTCCTCTTGCCTTCAATCTGTCCTGTGAGCATCAAATTTTCCTCTCCTTCTTTTCTGATTATGTACCCTGGAAATTTAAACTACCTCTTCTTGATGTTAAGTAGCAGTCTCTTTGTTTGTTTCCAATTTAACTAAAACTTTGTAGAGGTGAGGAAATGGAAACCAAAAAATAAGGAAACTAATACGTAACATCAGGAAGTTGAGGTTTCTGGGGCATATAATGAAGGAGGAGGGCTTGGAAAACCTGATACTCATGGGGCAGCTAGAGGGCAAGCAGGACAGAGGAAAACAATACATAACCTACTTAGTAAACTTGAGTAAATGTATGGCTAATAGAGGCTAGGAGAAATAACAGAAAGACAAATTTATTAAGAGCTACAAGAGACAGGAAGTTGTGGAGAGCTATGATCGCATACGTCCTGAGGTGACACAGCACATAAAGAAGAATTCAAATAGTATAGTGGATATGTCACTTGCATGTTTACTGCCAGTTTGAATGCTCAAAGCTCAGAATGAGAAATCAGATTTTGAATTTCAGTCAAGTTCCTTACAATCACTGATGCACAAATACTCTCGGGAAAGTTATTAATCCATCTCTGCTTCCCCCAGCTATAGGTTAAAAAGTAGGGCAGGCTGGGCTCTTTACCCTTGGTTAGCAGATAGTCAAGTAGAAGGACAACTCTGAATTCAAAACCGATTGGGGATGGGGCTAGCTACTTCATCCTGCAAAAAACTGTGGTGGGGACCATGGCATTAACATCTATTGTTGTTAAGAGCTGTGACTCCATATTCCCCAAAAGTCAATGATATTTGAGTGTGAAAGAATTTTATCGGAATTAATTTTATATACCATAATTGTTTGCTAACTTTTTATATCTGTTTGTATTAGAATGACAAGTTACAAATGTAGAAACAGTTAAATGCTGAAAATCTATCACCCTGTTCATTACTATTCATGATGTTTTTGTGTTTGGCATATATATTTTTCAGGTGAGAGAGATTACAAATAGTATTTTAAGTAACTTTATTTCTTCATTTTGCAATCTTTTTAATACTCTTCTTCAATGCTTCTTCACATCATTTTATAAGTCAAAAATTAGCAACCAGTTAATTTTGTTATCTAATGTTTCTGCTACATATTATCCATGTTCAAGGATTTACATATAATTTATATATGAATTTTATCAGGATAATTTATAAATTTTATATCTAACTGTTCATCATTGATTCCATTTTTATTTTTAGATATTTTGTTTTGGTAATAATATTAGATATAATTTTTTATGCATCTGTTTTCCTTGGTTACAACATTATGTATACTTTTATTTTGTTAACAGATCACGCCAGCTATTAAGGAAATGTGATTAAATATACTTTAATTTTTAAAAATAATTTTATTCATTATTATTGTTTAGGTAATAAACATTATAACAGCACAAATAGCTATATTGTGGAAAAAGGAATTTTCCACAATATACGCATTTTTTACATATTTATGGTTATTTTTTTAACTTTTATCAAAAACGACTTTCTTCTACATGTAGTTATGGATTAGTAGTTAAACATTAATTATTATTTTTTTTCATTAATAACTATTTATGCACAGTTGTTGACATTAATAGCTATCTGCTGATGTGTTAAAATTTTGGAATAATGCAATAATAAAAATTTAAATTTCATCTCTCTGATAGATGTCGCGATCTCTAAATATATAAGTGACTACACTATACTCTGGCTTGGAACAAAGGTTTTCATTTATTTTTCATAACAACCTTCACCAACTAGGCACTTATGATGAAATCTCAGCAATCTACTCTTCTGAAACAAGAAATAAACATGTTGAATTAATAAATTCTTATTCAACGTGCCTCTGTCACAATAAGTGTTTGTGTGTATCTTTCTGTCTCTCTCAATACATTTTTGTATTTGACTGCCTCTGTTAGTCTCACTTTATCTCTGGCTCTCCGTATCTTTCTCTCTGTCTTCCTATATCTCACCCTGTCATTTTTTTATCTGTTTCTCTTTGTCACTCTCTCTGTATTTCTTTCTGCAACTATTTTCCTTACACTCTTTCTTTGTTTTTGTATCTCTGTCTGACTTTGTCTCTGTCTCTCTTTCTCTTTCCTTTTCTTACTTTCTCTCTTTCTTTCTGTTTCTCTGTTAATCTTTCTCTCTCTCTCTCTCTCTCTCACAGAAAGACTCTCTTTGTCTTTCTTATTCTCTCTCTTTGTTTCTATGTCTCTCCATGTCACTTTATCTCCGTTTTTCTCTTTTTGTTTCAGCTATTCCTTCTCTCATTTATTTCTTTTCTCTGCCTCTCTTTCTTTCTTTCTTTCTTTCTTTCTTTCTTTCTTATTCTTTCTCCCTTTCTTTGTTTCTACCTCTCTATGTCAATCTTTTTTCTTTCTCTCTCCCTTTCTTTATTTCTCTTTCTTTCTATCTCTCTCTGTCACAATTTATCTCTGTTTTTCTCTCTTTATTTCTGTTGTTTCCTCTTTCTTTCTTTCTTTCTTTCTTTCTTTCTTTTTCTGTCTGTCTGTCTCTCACTCTTTCTTCCTTACTCTTTGTCTTTGTTTCTCTTTGTCCTTTTGTCTTTGTCTGTCTCTCTCACTCTTTCTCTCTTTCTCTTTCTCTCTCTCTCACCCTCTCTCTCTCTCTCTGTTTTATCTTTGTTTCTCCTGTTCTCTAACTCTCTTAGTATATCTTAGTTCTTCTCTATCTTGTTCTCTCTGAATATCCAATTTGCTGAAGGTTCCTATACATATTATATTCTTGTGAAGATGCAAACTTATTAAAAACATCATGTTTACTCATTCGATGCAAAACCAATATTGAATTTAAAGCCTAATTAAGTTCCTCAACTTCTTACAATTTTTGAATCTAAGCTCATCTTTTTTTGGTAGACTTATACCAATGACAAATATAAAATCACCAAATTGCAAACAACCAAAAGAAAACAAACCACAATTTTAACATTAGACTATTTCTTGCTTTTTAATTAACAAAAGAGAAAAAAAAGAAGTGACTCATAATATTTACAACGTTGTAAAAATTCTTTTTGACATCTAAACTAACCAAAAATTTACCTGGAATGTTTGGAGAATGCGGGGGTGCATAAATTGGCAGAAAAGGAGAAAACTATTTGAATAGTGAGCTTAAAACGACCAAAAATTTTCTTTTTTTTCTTTTTTTTGCTGTATGAATTTGTATAGTTAGTTTGTTTTTTCTTTGGTTTCTGGTGAAACAAAATGGTGTGAAGCCCTTTGCTTTCACATGAAGAGAGAAAATAAAAAAATAAAAAAGAACAAACTGCATTTCAAATTAAATAATGAAATTAAAAACAAAAATAAACAAAGAAATAAATCTGAAATCTTACCTCCTTAAACTATAAGCACTAAAACAAAAAGAAAAACTCTCAACAAAAATATACAAAGCAAATCAAATTAATAGATTAAAAATGTTTTTTTTCATATTACTTTTCATTTAGAGTTTGAGATATCTTTCTGATGGAATATTTGCAAAACATTTTATATGAGTGTGTGTATATAGATATGTGTTTGTCAACATACGTTTTATGGGGAATATGTTTGTGGCTACATATATCTGAGGATGTTTTCTCTGATTGTGTATGTGAAGGGGCATGAAATAGGATGATACTCTAAAATTGAATTATTTGGTGAGATTTTTTTTTTGTTTCAATTTTGTTGGAGAAATTATTTCAATTTCAGAACACAAGAAACAGAAAGACAGAAGAGTGGTGTACATTCTTACACTTATATATTTACTTATATAAATAAATATATATAAATATTTAAGTAGGAATTAGCTTAAACTCACATATATATCAGCAACTATGTTCACAAGTGTGATAATATATATGCTTGTATATATGCATGTTTGTGACTTTGGATATGTTTCTTTATATATACAGAGTGCAATGGGTAAATTGTTGCCTCTTTATATTTTTAATTTGACACATGTGTATTGTTTGTTTTTGAATTTGTCAACTGCACAGTATAGTAGGGTCAGTTGGGCAACATCTGTGAGAAAAAGAGCATAATGACACAATTCACTCTTCTAGAAATTTGGGAAATGGCATGCTGCACTGCTTGGTATTTGCACCAGAATCTCCAATACGAACATTTCATAGTGTTCGGGTATCAATCTGAGGACAGCGAAGAGGATTCAGAAAGAGTTGGAGGAGTCTAATTGTGATTACAAAGATGTTTGGAATGATCACTAGTGAGGGTAATGTTATTTCTCCATTTATCTTCTCACAGGGCCTTAGACTCAACACGGAGGCCTACAGCAAGTATCCTGAGGAGGTAGTGCTGCTCTGGATCATGAGGGTGGCTGATGGAAGGCCTGATGTCTGGCATCAGGACTCTGCACCATGTCACATAAGCAGGAGAACTCAATCATGGTTGTCAGACAATTTCTGTGACCAAATCATCCTTTACATCTGGCCACCTAACTCCCCAGACTGCAACCACCTTGGTTGGAAACCAATTGTGATTTTATTGAATAAATTTATTCTTTTTTCACATTGCCATAATCTTTCCTAATATATATATATATATATATATATATATATATAAATATAAGTGGTCACCACTGAATGGCAATGCTCTATCCCTGAAATTGAGCACTTATAAATATACAGGGTGCGAAGGATAAATTTTCATCTAAATTATGCAAAAATAAAAATGACAATGACATCTCATTTTAAGAGATATATTTACCAAAATTACACAAAAATATCTTGAAATACTAAAGTGTAAATTTATTCAATAAAATCACCATTGGCTTTAACCACTGCCTCCAGATGACTTTGGAATCTACTGCAAATTTTCTGGATGGTTTTCTTGTTTAAGTTGGTGAATGCTTCCATAATCCTTGCCTTCATTTCATCTTTGGTGTTACAAGGAGTTTTGTTGGTGTTTTGCTCAACTGGGCCCCACACATAATAATCAAAGGGGTTACAGTCTAGGGAGTTAGGTGGCCAGATGTAAGGAGTGATGTGGTCGCAGAAATTGTCTGACTGTCATGTCTAGGTCCTCCTGCTTGTGTGGCAAGGTGCAAGGTGCAGAGTCTTGATGCCAGATATAGGGTCTTCCAGCAGCAATCCTTCTGACTCAGGGCAGCACAACTTCCTCAAGGCACTTGATGTAAACCTCTGTGTTGAGTCTGAAGCCCTCACAAAAAATTCAGGAGTTCTTTTCTAATCAGAACAATAATTGTGAGTTTTCCAAGCTGCCTTCATAATCACCATTAAACTGATCCTACTCTTTCTGAATCCTCTGAACTGTCCTTAGATTGACACCAAAACACTCTGAAATGTTTGTATTGGAGCTTCTGGCATAAATGCCAAGCAGTACAGCAAGTCATTTCCCAATTTCTGGTGGTGTGAATTGTATCATGGTCCTCTTTTTCTCACAGGTGGTGCCCAGCTGACCCTACTATACTGTGCAGCCAAGAAAATTAAAGCAAACAATTTGCATGCATGAAATTAAAAATATAAAACACCAACAATAAACCCATCATACCATATATATATATATATATATATATTTACATACACACATATATATATATATATATATATATATATATATATTGTAGCATACCTCCGGATGATAATATCAGTATGTCCCCATTAACATAAATATGGTAGTAAAAACTATATGTTGGTCTGCAGTTGGAGATTCATTGTGGAATTCACTTGACTCACTTCTAGCAGTTGACTACTTCTACATACTGCTGTTGAATCTTATATGTGTTGTTTATGTCCTAAGTATTATCATTCATTACCCACCTTCATTTGATTATTCTATTGAGTAACCTTCCCTAGGTTACAACAATATATATATATATATATATATATATATATATATATATATATATATATATAGATCAATGACCTTATGTTAATCACAACATATAACACATAAATTAATCACAACGTTGATTCTGATTCCGCAGAACTGGGTTGGGTATGAAAAAGTATTTGTTGTTAACATTCTTTTTTCATTTGATTTTTCCAGTTATAAGTCCTTTTTTAAAGCTGATTGTTTTGTGTTCATTTTTTTTGTTTTTTTTTTCGTAACAGATTTAAATGTTTAGTATAGAGCTTAGAAAAAATTTGCAGTGTGAGATAGGCAAGAAGTAAGGCATGAAGCATCATCAGCATGGCAAAGGGCAGTCCTTTAAAGGCAAAGAAGGGCAAAAATATTTTAAGTCAAGTGATAGTGATTGCTGTATGAGTTGTACGATTTTTGAATCAAGCATGGGCAACGCCGGGCCATGCTGCTAGTATATATATAACAAAGAACAAATAGGAAATGTTTATCAATTGAATGTTTCACTTTCATTAAATCTTCATCAGAGAATCATAAGTAATAAAAGTGAAACATGTTTGAGTGATAAACGTTTCCTATTTGTTTTTATCATTCTGTTATTTCGATTTGATCCCAACTCATATGTGTGTGGGTGTGTGTATGTGTGTGTTTTTATACATACTTCTGCACATATACATTTTATACTGTTTATCTCTATCTATGTAAATATATATGTATGCATGCACATATATTTCTCAGTAAGAAAAAATTTGTAACTAAAAAATAGATATTGCATCATTAAAAATATTTTTTCTCAGATTGCTATGAAACAAAAACTTTACTATTTAGCGTAACACTAAAAATGGCATCACTTGTTAATACTGCTGTCAAAGAAAGTCAAAAAGTCATGCTCTTTTGTATCTGCATCATTAAATTAGAAATATAAGTTTCTCAGTCCCTCAGCCCAAATCTGACTTCTTTTTTTATCTTGCTATGTTAAATGAATTTGGCTGGTGAAATTATTGAAAAGCAGCAAATGGATTATAAATGAAGAAAAAATATATACAAGAAAATGAGATCAATGTAAGTCAATTTATGGCAAGCTGAAAAATCCTACTTATGAAATCAAATGATTTTTTAAAAAATGAAATAAATTTAGAAAATATCAAATGATTCAATTTTCATATTTATTTATTTACATATGTCCTTGGCTTTCTTTTTTTCTTTCCATTTTTTTATTGTGTAAATTATTTATATGTATATCATAGACCAAGTAGAAATATCTGCCGTGTGTTTTCCTGACCATAATAATTTTTCTTTCATTCAGTGATAATCTATAAATCTATAAAAACATTTGACTGGCAAATGAATTGACAAAGAAAATTTTTTTAGCTTAATTCCCAGTTCGCAAGTCATATTACATATTTTATTACATTATTATTCTGCTTGTTTCTTAGTTAGCTATCACATACATTACAGCCTGCCAATATCTCATAAATAATGAACTATTCCGTTTTGATCATGTGGAAAGACAGAAAAGACATATCAGAGACACTGTTTGGTTCCATTGGGGAAAAGAAAAAAAGAAAAAAAGAGAGAAAATAGAGGATCTGATAATCACATCCTCTATTTTCTCTCTCTTTAAAATTACGTCTAACGTTTACTTCAGTGAAATGGAAAAACTTGCCAGTTTCAGGTCTTTTCATCTGTACCTTCTTGATTTTTTAAATAATGTACAACAATTCTTATGATTGTTATTGCAACATTTTATCAAAATCATTAAACTCAGATATTTAACAATCCAATTGAGGAATTTCCACTGGTATTCTATAGTTGGAGAACTTGCAAAGAG